CGCGGCGGCGGTGGCGGCGGCGGCGGCGGCGGCAGCGGCACGCGCGGGCGGACGGATTCGGACGGGGCGGAGCAGCGACGCCTGGGCGGCCGCTGCTCTGTCTGCCAGAGCGCGCCGTCTGTGCGCAGCTCGAGCGCGGTCAGGTGCACAGGGAAGCGTGGCGGCGCGGGGACGCGCGGCGGCGGTGGCGAGCAGGCGAGCGGCCCGCGCGCGGCGAGGCGGACAGGTGATCGGCAGGCGGGTGATGGGCCGGAGAGTGACCGCGCCCAGCGATCGGAGCGAGCCGATCGTCGCTCGGCCGCAGCTGACCTCGAAGGCGTGCGGAGCGCGACTGTCGGTGTCGGAGGGCGGCCGTCATGTGGCGAGGAGGGAGGACGACAAGTGCGCGTCGTACGGGTCGCTCTTCATCAAACAGTCGAGCGGACGGTAGGTCGGTCAAAGTGAGCCGGTGTGCGGTGAGGCCGGCGAGATTCGTTGCGAGATACGGTTCGCGCCCAAACACAAGTTTGGACGCTGCGGACGCGCCGCAAAATCAGGCAATTGGAAAGGGGGCTACTGGGGCGGCCAATTCACACCTCGCGGGACTACTTATGTTTTCGTAAACGTAGTTGTGGCCCCCCGCTACGTCGCACGAGTGCAACCGGGTAGCGGGGGGCTATAAAAAACGGACAACTCTCTACTGTGAGGTAGGTAAAAAGGAACAGGTCCCCGCCCTTGCGATCGGTGTGTAGGGTTCTTTGTCGCGCAAGACGACGCAAGCCGCGAGTCCGACTTTTTACTTTCGTTTAACAACCTCCGGAGTTGCGGAGAGTCCGCAGCACTCCGGAGACGGGAGAGACCCCGCGGCCTTCCGACTCGCGCCTCCGCCTCACTGGCACTATTGTAGCCCTGGCCGGTGCGCGTGCTCAGTTGAAGTTCCGGAGTGAAAATTCGAACGCGTTCCCTCACGGTGACCAAAAATGTCCACCTCAGAGGCACCTCCGGAGGCAGGCCGCCGCACGCCGGCGACACAGCTCCAGCTGTCGAACTGACCCGCAGCTCCTCTCAGAGCGGGAACTGTGACGAAAGTTGACTGAGGCGATTGTCAGGAATCATCATACGGATCACATGGTGGCTCTCTCATGACGGGAGACCGCCCGACCACTCCTGGGTGGCACTGCCACCGGTGTCGCTCGACGTCCTGTCGTCTGTCGACAGCGTGCCGACAGCGACACAGACCATGTGGGAGCGCGTCGAGTATCGACCTCTACTGCTTACCCAGCCTTCGAGTGTATCCTGGCTGTGGTCCCACACCCACTGGTGTCCATCTCAGAGACCGCAGGAGGTCATGAGGGTCGATGGGAGTGCCAACCCCACAATGCCTAAAAGTAAAATGTTAAAACCCAGCAGCCCCAAGCGCAAGCCGTACGTTTTTAGGCTCTTAAAAAAGCGCGCGGGGCGGGGTCTCCACGCCACATTGGGCTTTTGGCACTGAAGAGCGACCTCTGGGCCGGCGCGGGGGCCCCAGAGGGTGTCCATGCGGGGGGGAGATGGGGTCCCATGGCCCGCCGCAGGCGCCGATTTTTTCGGCTTGTTTTTCTTTTTTGGCGGGTTTTTACTTGTTTCATGGTACTTGCGGCCATGCTATCACGCCTTGCGACAGCCTGTCGGCGCAGCTGACCGTGCCATGATGCACAATTGATCACCTGCATAGCTCGCGGCCTTAGTATCAAGCATTCAGTGACGACCTGATCGTACGGCCAGTAGGAAGGTGTCCTTCCAGCTGCGTGCACGCTTCTGGCGCAATGCGCGTCACCTCGGATTGGCTGCTGGCACTCTCGAGGCTATGCCTACACAGCCTCGCGCGCATGGGCAGTCAAGAGGGACCACGCACCTTCTCAGGACAGCGCCGGTGCCTCTCTCTTGGACCGGCAAACTTGGTGGTATCGTGTCACCAATGTGGGACCAGTGCGGCATCGCGCCATCGACAGCTCTGAACTGCGCCTCACCACTGACCGGGAAGGCCGCCAAGTGGGCCAGCACAGGCCGCACATTGTGGCAGCAGTCAGCAGTGCATGGCTGATAGCTAGAGCAGCAGCGTCAGGGTCGCAGGGTCGGATCGTGTCAAGCCTCTCGCCCGGCCGGCCGCGTGCAGACGTCGGCCTGTCTGCTGTCTGGAGTGATCTGTCGGCGGTCAGTACGACCGATCAGGTCGGAGTTTTCTGATGATTGGAGGGTCTATCTGTATGTACTCCTCGAGATCTCTCCAAATCTGCCCTCTAACCAACCGTAACCATTCGGGAAGTCGGTGCTCTGAGCGACTCTGAGCGCCGGAGCCCCGTTTCCGCACTGCGGCGCGGCGCACGGTGCCTCCGGGGGGCCCCGCGCCGGCCCAGAGAGAGCGACCACAAGAAATCGTTTGAGGGGTTAGACTCTACTACAAACCGGTCACGGTCCCGTCCAGTTTGGTCCCTTGGCCGGCCCTGGGCCGCTCGGCACCGCGCGGGGGTGCCGTTAAGCGACCCTACGGATTTTTATAGTGGTCGATTTTGGCCAAAAAGCCCAATGCCCGCGCGCGCGCGCCCGGCGGGGGACAAATATATCTGAAAATTCTCATAGTTTTAGAGAGTGTGGTGCGTGTGTGAAGTCCGCGGCTCAAACCCCTCGACAGCTCGACACTCCTAGCCCGAGCCGCGCGCTGCACTGAGCCGTGTGAGCGCTTCGGCGCGCACGCTCCCAGGCCTTCACAGTCTCATCACATGTCATCGTCTCGCCACTGGGCTGGCGCCACTACACCAGTCACCACACTCCCCGCCGCCACTCCACTGCGCCGGGACGCGCACACCGAAGTGGCGCTGCGCGTGAGGGGCGACGCGTGGCAGCGGCTCATCATGCTCACATGGAGTGGTTCTCCCCGAGAGCGTTTTTCCGGTCCAGCAGCGGCATCATGGCGCCTCTCGTGTGTTGCTTGGTGCTCTCGGGGTCTCTGGCCTCCTGCGTGGCCAAGTTGATCTCTATGGCCTCCAAGTTGAGCCGGAAGCGAAGATTCTCCTCCTGCGCATGGCGGGGCAAGCCCTGTGAGTCGCCCGCGCTCGCGCCGCGTCGGGAGCAGCGGCAAAGCGCGCGGCGGCGGCGCACCTCGTTGATGTGCCCTAACTGCTGCGTCGACTCGAGCGCCGCCGCCCCGCCAGCTCGCGGCTCGGCGAGAGGCGGCGCCTCCTCCGCGTGCATCCTCATCCTAAGAGCAGGCATGCACGGAGCTGAGGGTGGCATTCTAGAGCAGGCAGGCCGGGAGGCGCGGCGTCGCTCCAGAGGTTCGCGTGAGTACCTCGTGGGTTTCGGGGAGAGTGCCCGGGGCGCAAGCACGATGGAACGCCGCCAAAGACGCGCCGTCTCGAGCGCAGGGTGGAGTGCTTGGCATGTGTTGTGGTGTGTCCTCCTCTGCATCTACCAGTCCCTCTCCTCTGTCCACACGCGTGCTGCCGCGCCTCCTTGGAGCCGCTCACGCGACGCGACTGTCGGCTCGAGGCAAGGTCATCGGCCGGGCTCAAGGCCGCCGGGGGCGTCCCCCTCTCAGACACGCGCCCGCTCACGGCGCCGCTGCTTGCCGCCTCGGCGCGGGCCGCCGGTGGCAGAGCACTCGCCGTGCAAGTGTCCGCGATCCGCCGCAGCTCCGCCTGCAGCTTCTTCTCCTGCAGCCGCACCTGCGTGTTTTGAAAAGCGCGACTCGGTTGGGCAAGCCGCCCAAACCTCCGCCCGCCCCTCGTCGCCCCCGGGCCCGCCGCACCAGAGGCAGCCGGCTGAGCTGGTCCAGAGACGGCCTCGCCGAGGGCTCGCGCTGCAGCATCGAAGCAAGCACCTGCGCGAGGCATGCGCACGGCGTCGCGCGTGCGCCGAATGGGCTCCGAGCGGCGGGCCTCGCCGGACGGGCGCACCGCGCGGAGCTCAGGTGAGAACTGCTCCGGCGGCGGCGGGTAGGTGGTGGCCACAATCTTGAGCGCAAGCGAGGGGAGGGAGGTGGCCTGGAGGGGGGGGGGGGGGGCAGGATTGAGATCGGGCTGAGAGCCGTCCGCGGTGGCCGAGGTGAAGGGCGGCGCGAGGACCGCTGGGTCGAACCGGGGGGAGCGGCGGAGCGGCGGAGAGGGGGGGGTGCGAGGGGGCTCGTGGCTGCCTCAAACGGCTTCCGGAGTGCCATCATCTCGTACAGCAGCACTCCGAGCGACCACACGTCCGCCTTGAGGCCGTAGGGCTCGCCGTTGATCACCTCGGGCGCGAGGTAGTACGGCGTGCCGATCGTCGTCGAGGCGAGTCCGTCGTTGCGCTCGAGAATCTTTGAGATGCCAAAGTCTCCGACCTTGATCAGGTTGCGAGACGTGAGAAACACGTTCGCTGCCTTGAGGTCGCGGTGGAGGATCGACAGGGCGTGCATCGCACGCAGCGCCGCAGTGATCTGCACGAGCCAGTCAAGCACCACGTCCTCGTCGAACAGCGTGCCCGTGGCCTGTTTGGTTTTGATCACCTCTGCGAGCGAGCCGCGGTCGGCAAACTCCATCAGGATGTTGAGCTGCGAGCCGGCGCGCCACGCGTCGTAGAGCGTGGTGATATTTGGGTGCGACAGGCGCGAGAGGACGTTCACCTCGCCCACAGCGGCCGCCGCGTTCTTCTCCGAGATCGGGATCTGCTTGAGCACGTACTTCTCGCCGCTCTCGTTGTGCTGCACCAGCAGCACACGACCCTGCGCGCCTCGCCTGCGCATGACAAAGCCCTGGATGTGACTGCAGCGGAGATGGTGAGGGCGGCAGGGTGGGCAGGCGGGGGCGTGCCGCACCCGACCTCGCGGAGTACGCGGAAGCGGGCGGGCGGCTCCGTCATGGCTTGAACGAGGCACCGCAAAAAAGTACATGTAGGCCCCCGCCGAGCGTGGAATAGGACCGCCGCAAGCGGCGTGGCGTGGAGCGGTTGAGCGTCCCTCCGGGGGCCCCTCTGCGCCGGGGAGGCGTTGTTGGCGGCTAGGACGCAAGCGTCCGTCGCCGTTTTCAAACTCGGGGCCCACTCCGCTACGCTCCGACCCGAATTTGGGGGCCATGAAATTTAAGGTGTTGCTGCGCAAAAGGGGTGGCGCGCGGGCGCGCGCGTGCGGGCGTCGAGCGCGGAGCTGCAAACACAATGACGTCGGAAAGCTCTGCATCAAGTATACAGTAGGCTCTAAGCACGGAACCAGAGCGCGAAGTATCCTCTCCGCCCCGTGCAAACGAGTGGCGAGGGCCGGGGAGGGCGCACGCGTTCGCGTGGGAGGCGGGGCGAGGTGCCGCAACGCGGCGCCGCGCGGCGGAGCGCTCAGTCGCGGCACGCGTCTCGACCCAGCCTCGGAGCTCACACACTACTACTACTAGGGATCACACCACATAGTCCTCTCCACCGCTGATCGCAGCCGTCGCAGCCAGGCTGGCCGATCAGCCGCCGGCAGCCGGGAGAGGCGCTCGAGCCCTCAGTGCTCCACCACCTCGGCCGGAATGCCCACGGCGGCGAGGTTCGTCACCACCTGCTCGGCCGGGAGGTCGCTGACGAAGCACTGGCCCTCGCCATCGCCGGGGAAGGTGGCGATGGATGCCCTCGATCAGCGGCTTCGTCACCAACATGCGCTCGAGAGGCGGAGCAGCCTCGATGCGATCCAGTTCGGTAGCTATCTTGTAGCGCAGCGCATCGTCAAAAGGCAGCTTGTTGCAGGCGTCGCGCGCCTCCCCGAGGTCACGCAGGAAGCTCTCCATATGTGTTGCAATAGACCCCCGAGCCGGTTGTTGCTGCACCGGCTGATCGAATGCAACGGCGGCGTGGTGGACGGGAGCGGCGGGGGAGCAGGGGGCGACGGCGAGGTTGCGTCCGGAGCCCGGCGGGTCGATCTGCATCGGCTGCACGTCGGCCACGTCGGCTTCTGCCAGCTCTGGCTGCTGGGCGGCGGTCGGCGTGGAGAATGGCAGTCCTGTTTGGGGCGCATTTGAGAGCGCTGGCCCCGCGCCATCTGTTTGGTCGAGGTGGTTCCTCACCCCTGGTGTTTCTTCGTTCCATCGGGGAGGCTCTGTGCAGGGCGCAGCGAGGGCCGTGGGGAAGGGGCCAGTGGGGCGATGGGCACAGAGGGGGCAATGATCCGATGTGTGGGCAGGTGTCTAGGTCTGGCTGTGTGGACAGCCAGCAGCGAGAGTAGGATGTGCTTAGTACCTGTGCACGAAGGACAGACGCGGGTCGGAAAGTCGAGACTGCTGACCGCTCCTCCATGGTCCCCCGCCGGTGGACGCCGAGTGCAGTCATCGGTATGCGAGAGGTGTGCTCAAGGGCTAGCGGGGCGGACGCGACGACCTGGCGTTGCCGTCGCGGAGGGCTCGGGTTCGAGTGAGCGCCGCCGGCGACGCGTCGTTGCGGCCGTGGCCGCGCGGGCCACCTGCATCGACGGGCTGCTTAGGGGGGGGGCGCCAATGAGACGCTTGCCCGTCGGCAATCCATCCCGTGTTGGCTTCAATTGTATGTGTGTCTCTCTCTCTCTCTCAATTGTACGAATGTCTTGGCACCAGCTGATGGCTTGCACGGCTGACATCACGCAGTTTGTGCACGGTATTCGGATTTTGCTATTTGCTCGTGTGGGGGTATATCGCAGATTTGTCAATGGTACCGCGTCTGCGACGCGGGCGCCTTGCGGGCAGAGCCCTTAGCCACCCTTTTATCTTGCGCGGTCAAAATTTACGGCCCCACATGCCAGTTTCGGGGGGCAAAGGCAGCCCGCCCCCTAGAACCCCGGGTAAGGCCCAGGTGTGGCCTAGGGCATCAGAAGGGACCAAGAGGAGTCCAGTCTGAGCCATAGAGACTATGGAAAGTTCACGTCATGACGGTTAGCCGCTGTCACGACGGTTAGCCGCTGTCATGACAGCTGCCAGCTGTCATACAGCAAACGACAGCGACAGTGACACCTACCTGTCACCAGCTGTCACCAGCTGTCACCAGCTGTCACCAGCTGTCACCAGCTGTCGTTGCTGCTGTCGTTGCTGCTGTCGTTGCTGCTGTCGTAACCATCCCCGACTGGCTAACTGTCACTGCTGCTGTAATTGCGCAGCTGTCATTCCTGCTGTCATTGCTGCTGTCATCGCTGTCGTTGCTGCTGCTGTGCTGTCATTGCTGCTGTCATTGCTGCTGTCATTGCTGCTGTCATTGCTGCTGTCATTGCTGCTGTCATGAGCACCACCGCAGGACAGTGTGTGGTGCCACTAACGAGAGAGACAGGACACTCAAGATATAGATGCATGCGCGCGAGACCGCTCACTCGCACGCCCGACGCCACATGAGAAACCCTCTCAACAGTAGCCACGCACGGTCAGCAGGAGCGGGCGTGAGTCGGAGAATCTGCAAAACCCTTGCCCTCCTTCCTCCAGCATGTGCCGTGATGGGCTCCAGCGCTGGTTCATCTGCCGCTCAAAAATCTCACGCGAGCGAACGGTGTCAATCCTCAGCCGCGAGGATTGGGACCTTGAAATCACGATCACAAGCAAACGCGCAGAGCATTGAGCAACACACCTCGGGTTGAACCTCTCAAGGTGCATGCTGTCACCGGCAGTCTGCATGTGGATCGTAGACGATGACTATGGCTGGAATAAGCTCAAGTTCGTTCACGAGGGCTATGGCTGCCTCACGGGTCGGCTGTGCCTGTGGCGCTGCCTCGCTGTCGCTGTCGCTGTCGCTGTCGCTGTCGCTGTCGCTGTCGCTGTCGCTGTCACTCGCGGGGCCCCGCGCTGACATTGTCACCGCCTGTCGTTGGCATTCACTGGCTTCACTGTCACTGTCACTATGGCTGTCACTGTTCCTGGTGCCTTTCACTCCTCCTTGGCAGCTGGCTGTCACCAGCTGTCACCAGCTGTCACCAGCTGTCACCAGCTGTCACCAGCTGTCGTTGCTGCCGTCGTTGCTGCTGTCGTTTCGCAGCCGCTGTCATGACATATTGACCACGTCATGACGGTTAACAGCCGTTTTAACCGTCATGACGTGAACTTTCCATAGTCTCATAGAGCCCATGTCTTTGCCGTTTGCCCCCGAAGGTCGCGTTCAAATGCCCGGAACGGACGTTACAGTGGTGTCCGGCCGGCGCGATCACCGAGCTGTGACGCTCAGGGAAGCCTGATGAGGTACTGGTTTCTTTGCCCAGGCTGCCTGGCCTACGAGCTACGACCCAGGCTGGATCAGCTGAGCAAGGTTTGGGGAGAATCCTATTGTAGGATCTTCAGATATTTTGACGGATGACCAAAATCACCCCGTTTTTGCCCATTTTCGGCTCCATGTACGAACTCTGTTCACACCGAGTAGCTGGGAGCGGCTGCGGCAATAGAGGACAGCCGTGCCAGCCAACACACATGAGCGACGCCTACAGCAACGTCATCGGCGGCGGCCTGAAGCTCAAGGGTGCGGGGGTGTCAAAGAAGAAGAAGCGTAAGAAGGACGCCGTCTCCGCCGCCGCGAGCAGTGAGCTCGGCGACGAGACCGCGTCGACGTCCGCAGCCGAGGGGTCTTCGTCGACGTCCGCAGCCGAGGGGTCAGCAGCAGCAGCGCCGCCGGCTTCTCAGCTGCCGGGGGCGGCCCGGTTCACGGACACCGAGCGGCGCCGCATGGAGGTGATGGAGCGACGAAAGCTGGACGAGGTTGCCAAGGGGAAGGTCAAGTCGCACCGCGAGCAGGTGCGCGAGTTTAACGACTACCTCGGCTCACTGCCGGAGCACTACGACCTGCCCAAGGTGTCCAAGGGAAATTGATGGCGGAGACGCATCTGCCTCGCTCGATCGAAGCCCTTGCCGAAGGTCGTGCGGACAGCGCACTGACCCCAGCATGAGCACGCCTGCCGCCTCATGCGCGTCGGCGTGTGGAGTGATGTGCGCGTGCCATCGAACCCGGACGGTCCGGCAGCCGGGCTTTAGATTGATTGGAGCGTCAAAAACGTATCGAAGCTACAAACCTCATTGCTCTCCAGACGGGCCACCCACACCCACCCCAACGAGCGGCCAAAAATCGCGCCGCGCGAAGGGGGGGGGGAGGGGGGGGGGGGCTCTGGGGGTATCCAGGTGCCTCCTCTCTCCTCGGCGCCGCCGGTGGTCCCCCCCCCCCCAAACAAAAAAAAAAAAATCCTCCCAATCCTTCCCTCCCTCCCTCC